CCCGGGAGCTGGCCCTGCTGGCGGAGCAGAGCTCCCCTGCGCTGCTGGGCGGACGCTGAGCAGGAGCAAAGCCAGCCACAGAGCCAGCATCTCCTCCGCAGGGATGTAAACGGGAACAGCTAGTGGTGCTTTGGTGCAGTTGGAAGGCACCCGGCTGCTCTCGGTGTCTTCAAGGCGTCTCCCTCTGCGAAGGCAGGAAAAGCTCTTTAGAGCTGCTATCCCCATTACCTGCAGCCCGGCTCCAACACATCCCTGGGGGTGGAAGAACTCACGGACCCAGGGGGGCAGCGAGAGTGGACAGAACAGGGAGAGAAAAGGACACCAGGGAGCGGGTCAATCTTTTGACGGAGCTGACAACACCAAACCTTCAGAAATTACGACATGGGCTCAAAAGTAAATTCAGTTCTCTTTCTTCACTGCCTTCAGATCCTCTTTTCAGCCTCCTTTCCCAGGCAGTAGAACACTTCCTTTGAAAAAAAAAAAACCAGCTGAGGCTGGTCAGCATCAGTCTCAGAGCATGGGCTTCAAGGAGGCAAGAAGACAAAACAGCAAATGCTGCAGTTTGGCCAGCCTCACGTTGGGGAATGTGAGAATCGAGAGACTGGGCTCAGCCCCGGAGGTTGGACAGCACAGCCTTAGCCTCTGGGGAGCTTGGCTCCACACTGGAGGTGAACCCCATGTCAGAGCTCATCCCTTTGCTTCCCCTGTGGCACCCATGCACCCACTCTCACACAGCAGCTAGGAGCCCTGGGGTGCCACAGCAGCATGGAAAAGCCACTGCCCTGGTACACCATCTGCCACAGGAGAGACATGCTAAGCTCTGGTGCTGCTGAGCTGCGGTGCTGCCAAGAGGGAGGCCGATGCATGCTGCCCCTCTCCCATCCCTGCCCTGGCTGCACACACACGCTGTACATCAGCCCGCTTGGGTCATGGCAAAGCACTGCGCTGTGCCACACCACCCCAGCTCCCTCACTTCTTTCTTCCACGAGTCTCTGCCCGGGACCAGGGCTGTCTGTTGGCTGATGGCTTGTGATGAGGTCCTGCACAGCACATGGCTTGCTGAGCTGTGGCGTCAGAGGAGCAGGACAGCGGGAAGCAGCATGCAGCAATAGATGTAGAAGAGAACCCTGCCTAGATGAGTTATAAAACTCTCTGTCTTGATTTTACTACCTTTGGTAAAGCTTGGTAAATATTTCTGGGATGGGCAGCTCCTTGTCTGGCTTTAATTACCTGGGCAAATTTTCCTAAGGATTATATTGACCTCAAATATGTCAACATTTATTGAGGCTGTGTTCCTGAGGCTTTTCCCATTAGATGCTAATGGATTCTGGCTAATAGTCAAGCCGGAATGACCACCAGAGGGTGCCCTGGCCAGCTCCAGGATACCGCAAGTACCTGGGGAGAGGGCTGGGGAGGGTTACACCAGCTTTGGGGAGCCAAATATAAAAATCACCATGGCCCCAGTCCAAAGAGATCTGGGAACATGCTTGAGCAATTGCATTCCTAACTATCTGCTTCTCTGGGGCATAATTCACTCCAAGTCACAGCTGTATTTATGTGTGAGTTTTCCAGCAAAGGTTGCTTTCTCTAGTGCACCTTGTTGCCCACATGTATCTCATGTGTGGTTGTGGGTCAGAGAAGCGTCTAGGGCCCTTACTGATCATGCCAACCAAGGCGGGGTGTGTGTGCTCCCCTTTCCTCTGTGCCCCTCGCTGCCAGCAGCCAGCTTCCAGGCCCACGCCCACACTGATGCCCCTCTGATTGCTTGGCTCTGCATGGCTGGGGAGTGGTTTCAGATGGAACACTTCCTTTGAGCACAAGGTGCATGCCTGTGCACAAGGTGCATGCCTGCACATCTGCACAGGGGAACAGCCCCCACCATCATCCCTGGCCTAGACCCAGCTCCCTTGGCTCTCCACACCCAACCTGCTGCCCTGCCAGCTCCTCCAACAGGACTGCAGTGTCCCTGCTGGGTGTCCCTGGGTTGCCCTGGCAGCAGATGGCCCTGCAGCTTCCCCATGCACCAGCTCCATGCTCCCGCTGCCTGCCTGGCTCCTGCTGCCCACAGACCCAAGGAGGTCCGCGTCCTACTGAAGAACTGCAGTGCACCCAAAAATCACCTGCTTGCTCCCAGGTATTTGGGTTTAATCATGTCCTGAGCAGAAATAGCAGTTTACAATCTTCTCCCTTCCTTCCCCTCCTATTTTATAAAGAAGATCCAAATGCAGCTGCAGTCCCCAGGGCAAAACTCGCAGTGCTGAGCAGGAGGGTGTGCCGGAGAGGAGAGCCAGGGCAGGAAGGGAGGAAGACGCCAGGCTTGTTTCAGGCTGTGACCTGGGAAAGTCACCCTCCCCACAATGTCCCCATTTCCCCACAGCTCAGCTGGACCTGTGCTGGGGCTGCTCTGGGACTGCCGCTCTAGGACATGAAGGAGATGAGTTCCAACCTACCTGGTCAGAGCTGTGTCCCACCATCCTGCAGCCAAACACAACCAGTTCAGTGCTGGGGAGTGGGCCCGGCTTTGGAGCACCCCAGCACTGCACTGAGCACAGGGCATATTTGATCCATGCTTCTGTCACAGGAATGAGTTGCTCAGCTGCTGCAAGGCAGAGGCAGGTTTGGGGACGAATAGCAACCTGCCTTCATTGCAGATAGTTGCTACAACAGCAGGGATTAGCTTGAAGGCAGCTGCTGCCTTTTGAGGGACTGAGGTCCATGCTAGCAGCTGGGACAGGGGCTGGGGGGACCCCCATCCTGCTGGAGCCACAGCAGCTCCACATCTCTGTGTCTCGCCTCCTGAGGAGGGAGAGGCCTTTTCCTCCATGTGCTGGGGAGGGCCCACTGCCTCTCCTTTGTCCCCCAAAAGTCCAGTGAGTGATCACCAGTTGCTGAGAGGGACCGCTGGTATCACTTTGCAGGAGGATGCCTCTGAAGAGCAAAGGGAAAGGCAGAAAAGGAGTGAGGCAGCAGCAGAAGAGAAATATAGCAGGTGAGTCTGCGGTCTTGTCTCCCTCCAGCCAGTAGGAATGTGCCTCTCCTGTCCCTTCCCTGCTGCTTCCCAGCCCCAGCAAGGGCAGGCATCATGGGTGTTGCTGGAAGCATCACACTCGGGCTCCACGGGACAGCTTGGCTGCAGCTCTCGCATCTCCCCTGGCCCTGCTCACCCTGTGCCAGGGCAGCAGCACAGTTACAACTGATGAGATAAAGGAAACAGGGCAGTCCAGGGTCCTGCCCAAAGCACCCTGCATCCCACTGCACCCTCCAGCCCAGCAGGATCTGGGGGAAGGTCAAAGAGAGTGGCTCTGCCAGGCCCCAGCCTCTCCTACACACCTCTGAAAGTGGAAGTGTTCACCAGGCTGCAAGAGGGTCTGGGTTGGTGTTTTCGAAGGGATCCCCAAGCCCCTATGCACAGCGCCTACTGTCCCACCTTCACTGCAAAATCCCAGCCCTCAGTCCCAAATGAGAGTACATCTCTCCAGGGCAGCCGCTTCAAGTAAAACCGGCTGCACCTTGACTCTGTGTCTGACAGGTGTTTGCACAAATACTGCCTTGGTGCTGGTGTTTGAGCAGGAGGTGTGTCCCAGCCAAGATTTCCTGGGGCAAACCTCCCAAGGCAGGCTGTCCCTGGGCCATCTGACAGCCTTCGGTGTCCCTGGGCCAAGCCCCTTTTAAAGAGCTGCTCTTGGTGCTGTCCCTTCCTTCTTCCCTCTGGCTGCAGAAAGCCAAGCTGAAGAGAAGTACAGGAAAGCAGCACAGGAGGCTGACATGCCAAAAGAGCACCTGGGTAAGTTGGAGAGCAGCCAGGGGCTGGGGCAAGCAAGGTACGCCTGCTGCCCTGCATGTACTTCTTAGGTACTAGCCCTTCCCAGCAGCGCGTCACACCAGAGGATGGCACACAGCGTCCCTTGCATGTGGGCTCCAGCCCAAGGGGCTGCCTGTGCTGTCCCAAGAGTCCCTGGTGTGCAGTGCAGCAGCTGCTTACAGAGGTGAGGAATGCTGCAGAGATGGCAGAGAAAAAGAAGAGCAATGCAGAAAGTACATGGGAGGTGGTGGGGATGTTGCAATGCGGCAGACCCCTGGAAATGTTTCCCCAGCATGGAGCTGGGTTGGAACCAAGCCAGGGGTTTCTTGCTATGAATCATAGAATTGTTTAGGTTAGAAAATACCTTTAAGATCATCAAGTCCAACCGTTAACCAAACACTGCCAAGTCCACCACTAAACCATGGCCCTAAGCACCACATCTACATATCCCCCTCCAGGGATGGGAACTTGACTCCTTCCCTGGGCAGTCCATTACAATGCTTGACAACCCTTTGGGGGAAGAAATTTTTCCTAATATCCAATCTAAACCTCCCCTGGCACAACTTGAGGATATTTCCTCTCATCCTATTGCTTGTTACTTAGGAGAAGAGACTGACACCCCCACACACACACACACACCCCGTCTCGCCCCTCCTGTCAGGCAGTTGTAGGGAACGATAAGGTCTCCCCTCAGCCTCCTCTTCTCCAGGCTGAACACCCCCAGCCGCTCCCCATCAGCCTTGGGCTCCAGACCCCTCCCCAGCTTCGTTGCCCTTCTCTGGACATGCTCCAGCCCCTCCATGTCCTTCTGGGAGTGAGGGGCCCAACCCTGACCCCAGCATTCGAGGGGCAGCCTCACCAGTGCCCAGGACTGGGGCACGGTCACTCTCCCAAGTGCTGCTGGCCACACTATTCCTGATACAACGAGATTCACTCTGGTTCAGGCAGGGCTTGGGGCTAGGCATGGTCTGGGGAAATGTCCACATCCCCCTGGCTTTAGGGACAGAGAAAGGCTAGGAATAACTCACTGCTGGGCCAAGGTACGGAGGAGGTACTGGGCAGGGAACAGCCACTCAGTATGGTTTGGATGGTGCCCTTTGACTGCCCATGCTCAGGTCAGGGTCATGGTGTGGGTCACCTGTCAGGAAGCACGTTGTCCCCATGGCAGTCCCGTGCATCTCTGGCTCACAGTTCCCTGGAGGGACATAACCTGGCAGGCAAAAGCTGACAATGAAGTGCTGAAGCAGAGGCTGTGGGACCTGGAGAAAGCGCTGGAGCAGGCACAGGAAGACAAACGAGATATTCATGAAGGTGAGGGCAGAGGTGGGAGGGGGCAGTGGGACAGATGCAGGGACCCCACACCTTGGCGCTGCTGGGGGAAGCCAGCCAAGCTTATCCCACCTCTCCCTTGAGCCTTGATTGCTCAGCCCTAAGCCACCCTGCTGTTGGCTAGCCCTGCTCCCTCCTGTGCTGTCAGCGTGCCAAGGCTCTGCACATGGACTCGCTGCACTCCAGTTGCCTGTACTCAGCACAGGAGGAGGAGACCACAGAGGCAGTGACTTCCCTGCCTGCAAAAGTCATTGCCTCGCCATTTCCGTTAGTGCTCAAGAAGGGGCTGATTTTAGCAGAGGTAAAACCTCAGCCAGAGGTTTGCGGTCTTTGCCACATGCAAAACTCCGTGTTCATTTTCACTCTCCCACGCTCAACAGAGATGCAAAACTTTCCCTCCAGGGCTCCCTCCTGCCCCCCCGCCCCCTCCCCGGCATTGTCACGGCGCTGCCAGGCAGGGAGAGGGTGCACACGCGGCTGCTTCTGATGCGTCACCCTGCAATGGGAGCCCTCCGGTCAGGCCTTGCTGGAGAGCCCCTGCCTGGCCACAGGTGCTGGGATCCAAGCACAAGGACTGCCTGCTTGTTCCTCCTATAGTCACCTCATTCGGTCCCTTCTCCCCTCCCTGGCTTCCAGAAATGACCCAGCAATACCAGGAGCTGCAGAAGCAGAGGGCAGCCCACAGCCAGTGCTTGGAGGTGAAGGTGAAGAGCCTACAGGAGCAGCTCAGTATGGCCCCCCGGCATGCCTGCCCCTCACCATTGGGTGGGGATGGGGTTTGCTCCAGGGCAGCAAAGTGCACCTGGGGGGAGCGAGGGGAGATCATGCCTGCCCCTCACCATTGGGTGGGGATGGGGGTCATTCACCCTGTGCTGTCAGCACGGCAGTAGCTGAAAGCAAAGCCTGACCCGGTACATCCCTGACCTTGGGAGATGCTGACTGCAAAGGGGATGCTGTGATCCCATTCCTGTCCCAGAGCCCTCTGCCACCATGGGTATGAGGGGAATTGGGCAGGGGCTGTGCTGCACCCTGCCTGCACTCTCCCATGCACTGGTCATGCAGTGCCAGGCTCCTGTGCCCATGTGCTCAGTGTCCCCTGCCTCTGTCCCTGCACCCCACAGCCACTAGGCTCCGGGAGAGCCAGCAGACCCAGGAGACTGCCCCCCAGGCACTAGCAGAGAGGGACAGGACCATCGGCTCAGCTGCAGGGCAGTCTCAATGCCATGGAGAGGGAGTATAAGAAGATCCTCCATGTGAGTGGGGACGTGGCTGTGGGTGGCTCCCCTGACAGCACGGTCCCCCTTCCTCACCATCCTCTTTCCCACCAGGGTAGCCTGGACCTTGTACTGGCCAAGATGGCAGAGGCCAGCCAGCACTGGGAAGAGGTAGGAATGACCATTACCATGGAGAACAAGGAGCACCTACAGGAGTTTGGCCTCAACCCCCTGGAAATACAGTGCCCGGGGGACCCCCGGGAGCAGGACAGGCTCTCAGCCCCTACCTGCCTATCAGCACACTTGGAGAGCTTCCCACATCCACTGCCCCACACCCCAGCTGCCCCAGGCTAGGTAAGAGAAGATAGGTCCTGTCTGGCCCTGGGATGCACTGTTGAGTTACAGTCCTGTCTATAACATTACCCACACAAACAGCAGTGTGGATTTGTCCTTTAATCACACCCCAGATGGGTGACACAGGAACAGTGCTGTGATGGGGGGCGGACACTCACTACCCACAGGTTCACAGGGCGCATGAGAGGAGGAATGCAAGAGAGACGTCCATGCAGTGCAGACCTGAGCCAACTGGCTGAGAGGCAGGGGGTTCCTCCAGCTCCCATCAGCCTCCGCTGCTCCCTTTCTCCTTTGCATAGCGTCCCAAAGGCCAGCCCTGGGCTGAGCCAAACCTCAGGCTCTCCAGTCCCCTGGATCATGGCGTGGAGGGCAGTGCCTTGGCTCTCCTGGGAGCTCCCAGAGCCTGGAGCTGGGCAAAGTCTTCAGTGCAATATTCCTAGATACCCCTGGAAGCAGCTGGGCAGGCAAAGACACAGGTCTGTCTTCAGGTTACAAGAAGCCACCACCATGGTTAATAAAAGCTTGGAGCCACCCTCGGTCAGTGGAGATGAGTCTCTGGGAGGTGTGATACTGCAAGCCCCATCGCGGGCAAGGAGACACAGCAGCTGTGCATGCAATGGCCGTGCTGAGCAGCACTGTGCCCTCCGGGGAGCTGGGGAGCCTGGCCGGAGGCAGGGTGCGCCTGGGTCACTAAAACGCCTGGTGCAGCCTCCTCTGCTCCTCCTGGTGCGGGCTCTGTGGGGACACAGCGGGGGGTTGTGGGCAGCACACATCCACCCACCCCACCCTTGCCCCATGGGCAGGTTGGAGGGGTCTTTCTACCTGGCCCCTGCGGCCAGGGCACCATGCAGACCCCTCCTGCCAGTGTCACAGGTGCCAGGGGAATATTAGGACAGGCAGGGCAGGAGGGTGCCAGGACTCAGAGCAGTGCCGGGCTATGGGCAGCACTGCCATGAGGGCCTGGCAAGAGGGGTTACCTGTGTGATCCCTATACTGTTGGCAGCAGCCACCAGCCAGGAGTCAGGTTCCTTTGGTCCCACTTCAACATGAGAGAGTCCAGGAGAGCCACTGGGAGAGGGCAGGGAGGGCGTGTGGGAGCTGGAGGCAGGGTCACTGTCCTCAGAGAACAGCAGAGGGGACAGCCCGATCTGGAAGAGCAGAAGAGGGATGGCAGTACAGCTCCTGGCACTCCACAGCAAGCTAGGTCCCCTAGAGAGGACCTCACTGTGCAGGCCTGGGGGCAAGACACCCATCCCATCATCCAGCCTTGCAGCACCCCAGGGCTCCCCAGCCAGGGCAGGACCACGTTGGGTCCCCAAAAACCTACCGACTGGTAGAACTCATCACCAGCAGGGTCGATGACCAGCAGCGTCACCTGGTCATCACGGGCAAGGATCCTGAGCACGGTCTGCTTGTGGTCCAGCCCCTCGATGCTCTCACCATTCACAGCCAGGAGACGGTCCCCGTCCTTCATCCCTGCCTGCTCGGCCGGCAGCCCCACATCCACATCCCACAGGAACTGGCCTGCCACAGCGGGACAGAGGGAGCATGGGGAGATGCTCACAGAGGCATTCAGCCAGAGGGGAACTGGGACCACTGACCCCCATGTGCAGGTGGGGACAGGGTCCCGCTGTGAGGACAGGGCTCGCAGCTATTCCCCACCCTCAGGCGTGCCTTGCTCAGGTATGGATTGCCCCCCTCAGCCCCCTCACCTATGGCCCCTGAGCTGCAGTCAGCCTCTTTGAGCAGAAACCCGTAGCCAGCCGGACCCTTCACCATGTGCAGCTCCCGGACCTTGAATGGGAGCCAGGATGTGTCTGCCAAGGCGGCCATGACCCGCAGGCCCTGGAGGCGGTAAAACTCCTCCACAGCACTGGATGCCACCAGCAGTGTCACCTTGCTGCCGCTCTGCTTAAGCTGGATGGGAAACGCAGGGCACTCAGTGACCTTGCCAGCCCCGGTCCTGGTCCCCTGCCCACCTGCGCTGGGAGCACGCACCTTTCGGGTGAGCTGCGCGTGCGAGTAGCTCCTCACGCTGGCCCCATTCAGCTCCAGGAGCCAGGAGCCTGGTGGCACCCCTGCTCTCTCCGCTGGCCCATCCTGCTGCACTGACAGCTGGAAGGTGCCCTTCACACCTGCAGGGAGGAGAAGAGGCAGTCTGGGGACAGCAGGGTGCTGCGTCAGGGGGGCTCACGGTGCCAGCATCCCACTGCCCTCTTTACCTTCCGGACCTGACACACTGAAGCAAAACCCACTTTTGTCTCGCGTGATGTGGCAGAGGCGTGGGCGGATGTCAGCTGGCAGCATCTGGGACAGGTCCCTGTCCAGGGCTTTGGCTGCTTCATAGGAGTCACCATCCAGCACTGCCAGTAGGACCTGGTTCCCACTGGCCTTGATCTTCTGCACCACCTGGAAGGACCCAGGCTGTGAGCCCCAGGCGGGGGGCCCCCCCAACCACAGCCTGTGGGATCAGGGCCCCAGGGAGCCGCAGGGTCCCACACCCTCTGTGCCCCCAGCCACAGAGGACCTGGGCATTCCCACAGCCGCAGGGTACTCCCAGCTTACCCTGTGGTGGTCCATGTGGTCCACAAAGTGGCCGTTGACCTGGAGGAGCCGGTCCCCATCCTGTAGCCCCCTGCGCTGGGCTATACCCCCCAGCTCAACCTGCCGGATGATGTGGCCCCGGCAGCCCAGCTCCTCGTTGAGGCAGAAACCGAAGGTCTCTGTGCTGCCCTTGCTCAGGAGGTAGAAGCGGGGCTCCCCCACGTCCTTGCCATCTGTATTGGGAGCACAGCCTGTGAGCAGGGCCCTGCAGGGATCCTAACACAGGTTCTCCACCCCATCCCAGGCTGAGATCTCCCCATCCCTGCTGCCTTACGTGTTCACCTCCCCAGTGCTCCCCGTCGCGAGAGAGCCCAGGCCCCCAGCAATGTCCAGCTGCCAGAACCCCATGATGACACAGGGATGCCCTGGGGAGATGAGGGTATTTACCCGTGTCCTCAGCCAGCGACAAAGCAGGGTTGTCAATCCCATCTTTGGGGTTAAATTCAAACTTTCTGAAATGATAAAGGGCAGGAGAGGCCACATTGGTGCAGCAGCATGGCCTTCCCCACCACCATCCCCAGCCCTTCCATGGCGAGCCCCCTGTTCCTCCCAGAAAGAGCCAGCCAGGACCACAGCTCCAGTGCCTCCTCTTCCTTGGGAAAGACAGGAGGCAGTGTCCCTCTTGGACTGTCTCCCAAATCTCTCCTGAGCTAACAATTCTGGGAAGACCTTCCTGGGGCAGGCAGCTGGGATTGACAGCAGTGACCCACACCAGCTCAGCTGAAGATGTGCCCCAGCACAGCCTGGTTGTGGGGCCATGAGCCCCAGGAAGCCCCCAGCCAGGGGTAGCTCAGCACTTACATGATGGACTTCTTGTCACCCTCGAGCCCTGCAGAGGGAGAGGAGAGGTCAGTGCAGGATGCAGCAGGCTGGGAGCAGACTCCATGCTCTCGAGCACTCAGGGCTTCTCTGTTTGCAGGCTGAGCATGCCATGCCAGGCGAGATGGTTTTGCCGAGACCACGCAGACCCCCTGGCCCCTCTGTCCCCTGGCCACAGCCTGTCCTGGGCATAGCTCTTCCCTTGGCCCCGCCACCAGTGTCCGCTTGCATTTCAAAGCAGCAGGACACCTGCTGCTTGGGTCCAACAGGCATCTGCTGCTCAGCCCAGTGGGGTCCTGCAGCACCAGGGGCAAAATAGAGCCAGCAGTGGTACGCAGACGGACATTAGTCCTGGGGGTTTACTGGGCTTTTGAGTGAGGGATAAGAAGGGTCATCAGGGGCCCAGAGAGCTGGCTGGAGCTGGGAGATGGAAACACAGGGCTTCCCTTGCACACCTCCCCATAAAACCCCTCCCCACCTCTTCCAGCACAAGGACCCCCAAACCCAAGGAGAGGGGATTCCTGCCAAGCACCCCCACAATGTCCCTCTGCATTTTCCTGGATGCCTCTAGCTCCTTTCCATAGCCTGCCTGGGCTCTGACATTGCCTTGCTCCGTGAGGAAGCAGGGCCTGGAGATGTGCGTATGGGGAAGGGTCTCCACAGGATGAAGCCCCCCTGCCCCGGCACATACCTTTTGTTTGCTTCATGGCTGCAGGGAATGTGAGAGGGAGCAAGGTACAGGGTGAAGTGGCAGGGAAGTCAGTGTCCCCGCCTCTTCCAAGACACCCCAGGTTTAATGGTTAAACAGCCCCGACGTCTCTCCTGCCCTCCCAGCCCTGCGGCACTGTCAGCCCTCACCCAGCAGAGCTAGGAGCAGGGACCAGTACCCTGGGACACCCAGTCTGGGAACACATCCTGGTGTCCCAGCTTTCAGCTGCCCGCAAGGGCAGACCACGGTGGGGAACACCAACTGGTCAGCATGGGATGGAGAAGTGGGCTGTCCCATCCTAGCCCCGTGAGATGGGGAAGGGCCAGAGCCCTCCACTCTAACTGCTGGAGGGTCAGCTGCACCAGCGCCTCCACATTCCTGCCCCAGGAAGGGCCCGGAGAGGAGATCGAGTCTTAGCACCAGTGTGCTTCAGTGGTAACAAAGCGGTGCACTTTAATGCTACCAAAAGTTTCACAAGCAAGCCCGAGCCCTACCTCTCTGCCACTGCTGTGGCTCATGGCTGGGCCAGCAGTGGCCAGGGTGCAGAGGCTGGGTTTCTACAAGCCCAGAAAAACAAGTCCCATTTGCTCTTGCCCTGATCTTTGAATAGTTCTCCCACACTTCAGCCTTGCCCGCAGATGAGAGCTGAGCCCTGTGTACCCAGCACCTTTGACAGCCTTGGTAGCACCCAACCACTAGGCATCTCCATGCGGATAAGGGCGCAGGGGATCTGCTGCTGGGGCATGCTCTGGTGTTTTCTCCCCAGCAGCACTGCTCCCTCCCTGCCCTGCTGGATGGACAGCAGGTTAGAGGGTCCCATGCTGCAGTTCCCCCAGCATCTTCTTGACCTCATTCTCGACTCGTAGGA